TCATTCACCACCACTTCACCTTCTACTGTGCCCATCCATAACTCATTCAGGTTATTCCAGCCCTGATTCTGGGACTCAGTCACATGCCCCCTGCCTTCCCCATGCCTCCCCCCTCACTGGACAGAACTCACATGAGGACGATGAGGCAGAGAAGGAGGAGCAGGGACTTGACAGCCACTTCCCCGATGGCCACCAGCACCACCTGGGCCCTGATTTCCCTGTAGGGACTAGAGACAAGGACAGATTCACCGGGTCAACTGCAGTCCTGTGTATCTTCCTCTCTAAGTAGAACTCTGGATGTTGTCCTCTGGGCCTTCCTGCAACATTGGTTGTAGGGCCTCCCATGCCCTCACCCTAACCCATGTCCTGACCTTTCAGCAGTTGCATCAGAAAAAAATACACAACTTGGAAGTCATCCTACGAAACATTCTGTTTATCAATTGACACCATGCATACAGTAAAAAGCCAACTCATTTAATGGGGGGAAATATTTGCTACTCAGAGATCTGATAAGGATTAGTATGCAGCACATATAAAAAAACTCTTACAACTAAAAAACGCAAAGCCAATCACACAATTAAAAAATGGGCACAGGACTTGAAAAAATAAATCTTCAAAAATCCATACAGATGGCTATATATCCATAAAAAAATGAGAGACATCATTATCATTACTTAAATGGAATTCAGAGTCATGATGAAATAACCCTTCACACTCACTAGTAGCCTCTCATTTCTTTTTAAGGGAAACAACAGAGTTGGTAATTGGATGGAGAAATTGGAATCCTCATACATTGCTGGTGGGAATGGAAAAGAATGCTGCCACTGTGGAAAACAGTCTGGCATGTCCTCAGAAAGATAACTGCAGAAACCACCGCTTGACCCAGCAATTCCACTCCCAACTCTATGCCCAAGGAAACAGAAGACATATGTTCACACAAAAACAGGTACACCAATGTTCATAGCAGCTCAGCCAAAAAGTGGAAACAACTCAAACTTCCATCAACTGATCAATAAATGTAAAAAATGTGATATGTGTATAAATGGAATACCATTCAGACAAAAACTTAATGCCTTGGTTCTCCACTGAAGATATGTACACAGCTAGAATCCATCCAGAAATGGGAACACCTCACAGGCACAGANCCCCTGCCCAGATTTAATATTTCCTTGTTGCTCTCTTAATATTGGCTTTCTCAAAACAGCAAGCTACTATTTTCTAAAACATGTCATTCATGTTTTAGAATGAAGTGACCCAATAATTATCTGGATATGGAAAAGCAGAGTAAACAAGGCCTGGAGGCCAGATGGGACATCCAGGGGTGCAAAAGTTCACATGAGCAGTCCAGTGGGCTGAATAATGGCCACCCAAAGATATCCAGGTCTTAGTCCCTGGTACCTGCAAATGTTCCCTGATAAGGAAAAGGGGTGTGTACAGATGAGATTAAGGGAAAGATCTTGATGTGGAGATCATCCTAGAATATGAGCATTGGCTCCTGAATCTAGTCACAAGTGTCATTTAAGGACTGTACACAGAGCAGGATGCGGCAATGTGACCACAGAGACAGAGCAGTCATGCAGCCCCAAGCCAGGGAAAGCTGGTAGCCACATCACCTGGAGGAAGCAAGGTATGGATTCTGGAGCGAGTGCATCCCAACTAACAGCTTGCCAGCAAAACTGATTTCAGAGGATGGGGTTCTGGACAAGTACCCCAAGATGTGGTGCCTAATCTTTCTTTGTTGCAAGGGTCTCAGTTGGGAATGTGGAAGGGCAGAGGGAGAAGATATTTTTCTTCCCTGAACAGATTTCTGGCCCCCAGAACTGAGAAAATAAATTTCCTTCTTTCATGACACTGAGCGTGTAGTCATTTGTTTCAGTGGCCCCAGGAAACCAGTGCAGGTGGGAATTCAGTGAGCCCCGCTGGGAGATGCAGAGAAGCACCAGAGCAAGACCCCCTTCACCAGACCCATTCCTCTGTCCCTCTTTGCACCCAAATTCCTCACAGGCTCGTCTGTAACCACCCTTCCCATCCCCTCCTCCGGGATCTCCTGAGTCAGCTCCGTCACATCTTCACACCTTTCCCACCAATCTTGAAACCAATGTTGTCAGGATCACCAGAGACAATGTGTTGCCTGTGACTTCTCTCCTCCATGTGCCATCAGACCTCTTCTGACTTCATCAGGCATCATCACCTACACTGGCTGTGTGTGTTCACGTCTCCAGTCTGGACCCCTCTCCTTATATCCAGCTCTCTCACTGGCAGCCCCAGTCGCTATCAAGTGGCTGCTCAGAATGAACATCACCCTCCTAACCCTCCTGTCTGCATCCATGAAACACATCCACATCCTCCCAGGTGCTTGGGAGAAACATCTGGGCACCGTCCCCGTTCTTCTCTTTCCCTCAATCCCCACATCCAATAGAAAATTCAGTCAACTTGACCTTCAAAATATACAAAAGTAGAACCTCAGCCTCCCCTGCACCTCCCTGGTTCAACCACCGTCACCTCCTGCCCTCCATGCCCTCTCTGTTTTGCAGCCGTGGTCACACTCTGGCCTATTGTGCTCAGAGCAGCCATGGGGATGCTGCTACAAGGGGCGCTCTGTCATGTCTCTGCTCTCCTCCGAGGCTGCCAGTTTCCTGCATTTCCTGCAAAGCCTCACATGGGGTGTCCATGAGAGATCACCCTCCCAGCAGCCCCTCCCATGCCTCCCTGTGCTGTGACAGCACCACTTGTCCCACAAGACGCCAGGCTGCTTCTGCCTCAGAGCTGTGACACTGCTTTCCTGTTTTTCTGGGTGAACTCTGTTAGGCAACACAGAACATGCTTTCTCACTGCCTCCAAGTCTGTGCTCAAACATCACTCTTCACATTCTCAGGTGTAAGGAACTGTCCCCCCATGTGTCACCTAATTCTTCCCTTAAGTGATTCCTCCACAAACAGATATCACCATCCAACATGCCACAATATTTTTATTCAATTCTTTGTATATCTATACTCATGTTCTAGAACGACAACTTCTTGATGACAGATTTTTGATGCCATTTGCACTCTTGCATTTCTGGCATCTGCACCAANCCCCTAAGCACTGAGGGTGGACACCCCACAGACCAGAGACCCGGACACCCACCCAGAGAGGAGCAGACAGGAAGCAGACCTCAGGTCCTGACCCTCACGGGGGCTTCCCTCCAGCACCAGAGAAGGACCACGACCTCTGAGGACATGTGAATCTCCTAAGGCCCTCCCAACTGAGGGGCTGTTCTGAGCAGTGTTGTCTACACCACAGAGCCAGTACCCGCTGCCTTGATCTGGAGGGTCACAGTCGCATCAAGACCCTCAGGTGTTGGTCTTGCAAAGTGTAGGATTCTTTAGCGTTTGGGTGAGTATCTGGGTCAGAAGAAATATTAAGGTCCCAGGTGAAGTGAAGGCAGCATCCATCCATCCACTAAACACTCAGTGAGCCTCTAAGTGTTGGTTGGCTGGACACAAGGAGGGATAAGATGGACCTGGTCTATGCCAGTGACATGTTCCCCATTCAGTGACGTCACTTCCTCCCCAAACACATGCAACTGCCAGACTTTAGAGCTGCAGTTACTGGTGAGTTTCCCATGTATTCTGCAAGCATACTGGGTAATTTCTAAAATTATGAGTGAGTTTTGCTTTTACATCTAATATGCTGATTCCTGATGTTTCAATGGCATGTCTAAAATAAAATGATGTGGCTTCTTCATGTAAAACAAAGAGAGAACACATGATCTGTGAGCCAGTGCACTGGAAGCTTTTTCTGTGATTCCCTTGATTCCGTGCTGTTTGAACTGGAGAGACGGGTTTACTTCCTCATCACACAGATTAGCATTTCCTGTCATGTGAAACATCTGCCTCAAGTTCTCCAAGTACTTGCTCGTTTATCTGCAACAAAGTTGTGGATAAACAAATGTATAAAAGGCATTTTTTGTTATGTTATACAATGTTATACAATTCCATATGGAATATGTTTCTCCCAGCCTTTAGCAATAAGATATTTGCCTTTTCAAGTAAACTACACACTTTCTTTTATCAGACAATAAGATTTCACATTTCCCTTGTTGCATTGGCTGCTAGGTATCTCAGGGTTATATTTAGTACTTAATTTCAAAAATAGTGTCATTCAAGATTCCTTGTACAATTATGTCATTTTTCTAGGTGATTTCTGTTCTGCCTTAAAAAAATTGCTACCTTGGAAGTGCTATAAAATTGTAAGTCATCTCAAATCCTTTGGGGGACTATGAAGGGTCTAATTTCTACACAAAATAAAAATAAGTAAGAGTTGTTGAAAAAAGTCTGTTTCTCACAGTTAAATGTAGTTCTAAAATATAATATTTCTGGAAAACCTTTTGGAATACGCAGCAACAATTAAAATTTTAGGTACAGCTAATGTGGTTTTCCATCTCACTCTGTGTGTGTCACTGACAAATTCTTGACCCCAGTGACATAAAAGTATTTGCCATGATGTATTTGTATAATCTTTCAAATACAGCAGTGTCTGTATACATGGTCCTTCAGTCTTACTAACATAGAGAGATTTTTGTACCCTTATTTGATGTATAAGGAAATGAGTCTCCAATAAGCAAAATAATACTTTATTCTAGGTTGTTAAAAAAAAGTAAGAATGTAGCACATAATAGAATGCCCAACACAGTTGGATGTATAGTAAAGAAAGTTATACAATGTTCATAGATGGGAAGCTTCTGTGACTTCTCATTGTGCTTCTTTGAAGAACTTTATAATTTACATAAAATAAAATGTACCCGCCTGAAATATGCATTTCTGTGAATTTAAACAAATGTAGACCACCACAATCAGGATATAAGAGATTTCCACCACCCCAAAGAACTTTCCCCACACCTTTGTAGCTCATCACACCCACCTCCAGCCCCAGGTAAGCACTGATACACTCTCCATCATGGTGAATTAATTCTGTCTATGGGGGAAGTTCTAGAAATGTACTCATCTGTGTCTATATTCTCTCACTCAGCACAATACTTTGGAAGTTGATCCCAGTTGTATGTATCTGTAGTTTGTAATGTCTTATTACTAAGTCTTATTACTAATATCTTAATACTAATGACATCCCATTGTATGTCATCGTGGTTTCAATTTACAATGGCCTAACAAAGGTGTGGGGCATGTTTTCATGTGCTCAGCTGCCATTATTGGTCTTCTTTGGTGAATTTGCTGATTAAATCCTTGGCCTCTTTTTTTTATTATAATTATGATATAATATACATAATAAAAACATCACCATTTTTAACCATTTTTAATTGACTAGGTCTGTCACATACAGTACAGTCATAATGGTGTGCGACTGTCACCACCGTCCTTCTCCAGGGCTTTATTCATTTTTCCAAACTGCAACTTTGTGCCCATGAAAAGAACAACCCTGCATCCCACTGGGCCAGACCCAGGTAACCACCATTCTACTTTCAGTGTGAATTAATTTGCCTCCTCTAGGGACTTCATGTAAGTGGAATTATACGTATTTGTCCTTTAATGACTGGCTTGTTGCTCTTCACATAGCGTCTTCAGTTCGTATTGTAACATGTGTCAAAATTCGCTTCCTTTTTAAGGCTGAATAATATTCCATTGTATGTGTTTGCCACATTTAGTCCTTCCATTCCTCTGTTGATGGGCCCTTATGTTGCAATTACCTTCTAGCTATTGTGAATTATGCTGCTAAGAACAGAGATGCATAAATACCTATTCAAGGTCCTGCTTTCTATTTTGGGGGGTAATACCCAGAAGTGAAATTACTGGATCATATAGTAGTTCTATTTTTAATGTTTTGAGGAACCTTGAAGAAGATGCACAGTTTTATAACCTTAACAGCAAAGCATAGAGTTATACTTCCTTCACAATGTCACCAACACGTGTTATGTCCTGTTTTAGTATTTTTCAAAAATAATAACTATCTTATAAAATAATGGGTGGGGGAACCTCAAAGTATGGTTGTAATTTGCATTT